TAATTGAAAAATAAAAACTGACGTGTATGTTGCCGGCTTGTGATTTTTAGTCCGGTTTGAATGAATGAATCCATGAATGCTCCTATCTCCAAGACTTTTAGTTCACAAAAAAAATAACTCTTGTGCGTCATGCGTGCCTATGTTTTCTGCATAGCCATCAAACTACACACGGCTCTATATCCTGCCGCCTCGACAGGTTCGCGTTTTCGCTCGCCTGTCTCGTTGGCAACAACAATTTACAAAATAAATGTCGACAGGATCGTAAAACAAAATAAAAGCATTCTGAAATTCGGACGATTTCTCCAAGACTTAACTTCGATGTTATGTAAGTGAATGAAACGCAAGCCAGATTTGCCGGTTTAAAATCAATTTGTCTTTATGTCATCTTAAGTCAAACAATTGTCACGCCATCCCTTGACCGTTTCAACACTAAAGTTTACCTAAGAAATACACATGATACGATCTGTACAAAGGAAGTTTGATGAGGCGGTATTCTGCTCGTCCTCCTGCTGTCGTCAATTTTTCTGCTTTTGCACTTTCTTGTCCATGTCCCATTTAACAGAGCGTTAAACAGAAAAATAGAAATTTCATTCAAATTTATTGGAGTTTTATCGTTAGAATTTTTGATGTTGAATTTATCTGACAACTTGGCTATCATCATATTTCTATCGATTTCCCGTTTATTTAAAATTACACTGTTACATGTTTCAGGTAAGTTTTACTCAATACTTACGATGTCTCACTCCACGATGGTAACTGACTTTTTTCAGGAATGCCGGAAGCAAAAAATGCATGATGTTGTAAGGTTGAAACTGCCTGCACGTTACATGTTGCTGATGTTTGTTAACCACGCTGCCGGCGTATTCACGGAAAACTCAAGGAAATTCATTGTGAGCTGTTACAAAAAAGGAAAAACAGACAGGTTGGTAAAAGATTTGTGAAAAAATAAAGTTCTCGAAAAATTAAATGAATCAGTATTTTAATCAGTTAATGAGCAAAGGCCGTGAGCCGAATTGTAAAAGAATTTCGGTTTTGCTTACTGTATTTAACGTTTGCTTTTATTTCAGTTCTCAATCCAAGGGTTGTGTATTCAAGTGAGTATTGCGATCGTTCCAATGGATTTTTACGACTTATCCGTACAAAATAACGGCATGAATTCATCATTCGGGTCCAAGGCGAGTCTATGGCGCATTCAAGTACTCTTCTCGACTCTTCCTACCAGCCCCTAGCTACTTCTTCCATCTACAAGCGGTAAATGTAAATACTAAATGATTACACTGCGAGCAAGCAACTTTCTTGGCAGCTCTTTTCACTCCAAGGGAGCTTGCTTACTCACGCTGCCAAGAAACCAATTCCGACTTACTTCACATTTATAGAAATCTTCCTGCCACCAGACGAAGTGAGCACATCATTCAGTCAGAAAGCCGTCGTCATTTCTGTTCACCGAATTCAAGGGCTTCAGTTTACGTTAAGTTATCAGTTACTGAAGGATGCACTGTATCCTTGGTAGGTAGTTATTTTATTTTGTTTGTTTCTTTACTTCACTGAAAGCAGAGTTTGCAGAATTTCTTCCGTTTTGCAACAATTAAAACGCGGAGCATTCGACATATTCAACATGCTTGAGTTGCCTCTGAGTTCAAAAGCCGCTACTAACTTCCCTGTGAGTTAAGAAAATATATATGAAACAACGTATGGTTAACTTAGTAGACATGTTTGTATACAACCGTAATTTTAAGATAGCATTAAATGTTAATTCATTTTAGCTTGGATTAAAAAGAAATACAGAAGCTCAAGGCCTCAATCGAATCGTCTATTTAATCATCCATCATGCCACTGAAGGACAACTTAAAACATTTATTTCAAGTAGGTCTTTGCTTTTTAGTTTATTGATTGAACTGTAACGGGAAAACTGCTCGTTTGACTATAGATATCCTAACTCTCAAATTGGTTAACTTTGAGTCAATCCTACAACATTTTCCATCGCCAAAGGCATAATTTATTTTGTAGTTGTGATTAAATACTCCAAACAAGAAAAGGCGACGGGTTCGCTGACCTGTCGCTTTGTTGTGTACTTTTCAAACGCTTTCTAGATCCTCTTTTTAATATCACAATACATATGATGATGTGACAGACCTTAGTACCCACATTTAGTTTCTAAAATACGGCATGCAGAGTACGATAGAGTAACTCTCTGTTATGCTTGAAGTATCGAAATAACTTCTAACCAATTTGTCACGGGTGTTTACAAATCACTCACACGTAGATACCTCAAGTAATCCCAGTACATGTTTAAACGAACAACAAAAGTTAAAATTTCTACAAATGTTAGTGGTCAAGTTATTGGAATATCGGTTGGACTTTGTCAACATTCTTATTTAACATTTGTCGAAAGGCTCGAATAGAGTCAGTCGTTGTCAGTTCAGTTTGCTTTTAAAAGTTGTTTTTTTCTCTGTCAGCTTATCAGCTTAGTGTTATTTTTGGATGGTAAATAATAGAGACATTGACAATGGAAGGAAGTTAAAATGGGCATAAACTCACTCCCGATTAAGTTTCCATGAGTTTCTGGCCGGTTATCGTTTCCGCGCTACTAGTATTCAGGAAAGTTACTGATTCAGGTAAAAATAATTGCATTGGTACGGACACATTAGTCCGCCTCAAGTCCAATTCGCAGTCGTTTCAAACAATACTGATAAACGCTTCAATTGTCAGTTGATTATAAATCTTCCCTAACTTGACAGAAAGCAGTTTCTCCAACCAGAATAGACTGGGTGTGTGTTCGACTACACAGTCCTGAAATCGACTGAAAGATTAGTCTTTACTCAGGAAATTTTACTGCTTTATTCACAATGTCAATGAACCCCAAGAGGTTTGCCACATGCTAAATCTTTTAACCTAATTGCTAGCGGAGAAATCAACACATAAATTGTCAGATTGAAACAACTCACTACTCTCGTTTAGTGAATTTTTATTTACTTATTTTTGCCATCAGACGTCCTACAGACTCAAATGGTTGCGGTCGTTGCTCACACTCAAAGAGACAAATTGGCATAAAAACATCAGAGTCAATAAGATAAAACATAAATCCGACATTCACAATGCTTTATACTAAAAGAATTTCACGGAGCTCTGTTTCAAAAACTGACTCTGTCTCATTAGCATCAAGGATATAGCTTCTTTTTAGACTTTTTAGTAAGACTAGTCGAATTAAAAACAGGTCACTTTAATACAGATTATCTGGGTTCTTTAGATCTTTTGAAAACATTTACCATTTTCGCATCCTTGAAAGTATAAAAGGCGTTTTCTTTACGTCAAAAAAAACCGTGCCCAGGTTTTCTTTAGTTGGATCAAGAAAAGGCAACATAAATTTGAGTAAAAATCTTTCCATAACTAAGCGGGACACGTTACAGTACATTTGCCAAAATTTTCAAAGAGTTGTATTGAGGGGAAAGTACTATCCAGGGTAAAGATATATACATGTTATTTGCTGGCCGGGAGGTCGGTATACGGACCGACCAAGGCCGGCAAATAACGTATCTTTCTCTTTATCTACAATATTGCTTTGAAAGCAACTTTTATGTTTCCTTTCAGGTCAAATCTTGCGTACGCATGAATTTCGGGCACAACTGAAAAGCGACACTGTTTGCAGAATTTGTTGGGTTGATTTACATGGGACACATTGAAGGGAAATATTACGTTAAACAAGGCTAGTATTTGGCCGAAAATATCCGTTACGTGAAAAACATTGATGTTAGTGAAAAACCGAAACACACGGCTTGAAATGAAGTTGAGAAATGGGCTTTGAATCAAAGCGACACACGTTAACGAAAAATCGAAAATGGCGTTGTTAATTTGACGCTTTGTTTGACTCTGTGTAGAATGTTTACATTTTGCGCTGTTTTACGGTGCAACAAAAAGCTTAAAAACTAGCCAAAGTGCGAAAATTTTAGAGCGGTCCGTAACCGGGGTCCGGATGGGAAAATGACATTCAAGGATTTAGGATTCCGGACCGCTAGAAGCTAGAGCAAAAAGCTAGAGGAAAATATAAAACCGTTTATCAGCGTTTTATACAAACAATATAATAAGCACATATGTGAAGAAATTTTCTAAACCTGCATACAGTGTCAAGAATAGTAGTTAGAATACTTCATCTTCTATTTGTTTCATATATAAAAGAAGTTGTCATTACTTTTGTGGATCAGTCAATATTGCAACAGAAGACTGTCCAACTCTCTAGAAACATGAAAAATGTCTTGTTCCCAACTCCATGACGCATTTATATTGTTGTACTAAAGATTACTCACATCCGCTTTTTCACCAGTCCGGGCATTGACACAGTTAACTACGGTTAAATTGGACTTTCATCAAATTCGCACAATGACTTGTTTTTCCTCGCGTCTTCGTTGCAGTTTGCTGTTCTTGGTGTTGTTTGTGGCGAGTCAAGCTTTAGCTAAGCCAGGAAATAACGCTAATAGCACTCCAGTCAGTTCTACAGCCACAAAGCATTGTAACGTAAACGTCTACAACGGCTGCTGTGCAGGGCCAAACAAGAAGATTGAAACGATTCTTCAAGAAATGAAGAAACAACTCACTCAACTGCAAGATGACATCGACATCCTCAAAGGAAATAAGACGGCTGTGAAGGGTAAGATCTATTTTTGTGTTGAGATTTGAATTCTGCAAAATTTTCGACAATTACTATAGCTACGACTGTGAAACCCGTCATTTTTGGTCGTTGCTGTTGTTGTTGTTGTTTTTTTTTTTCTTTTGCTTGACATTTTTTTTCCTCCTGTTTGGAGACGTCCATTAACTCGAAACAATTTAGCGAAAATAGGCTTTGTCACCTTTTTCTCAATAGGCAAGAACTGTGCTGAGCTGTACAAATCCGGTAAAAGAACCAGCGGTGTTTATACAATCGACTCTGATGGTTCAGGTGCCTTTGATGTGTTCTGTGACCAAACAACAGCTGGTGGGGGTTGGACTGTTTTTCAGAAGAGACTGAATGGCTCCGTTAACTTCTACCGTGGCTGGGCCGACTACAAGAATGGTTTCGGTAACCTGAATGGCGAGTTTTGGCTGGGACTAGACAAGATACATCGCCTGACGAACACAAAGAACAGACTTCGAGTAGATCTGGAAGACACGACAGGCAAAACTACTTACGCCGAGTACGACATGTTTGCAGTTACGAGCGAGAGGACTAAGTACAAATTGAGTCTTGGATCATACTCCGGTTGGTTTTCGTATTTTTTCCCTCTATTTCTTAACATTTTAAAGTGATTGGTTCTTTCTTTATTACCTCGCTAGTTTATTTAAGGGGATAATTTTGTTTCAGTAAGTTTGAGTGCGATCTAATATTGAAAACAATGGAATCCAAAAAGGCCTCCGTATTGGTTATTCTGAGGTAATTTTTATTTTGTGCTGTGCTGAATTGGAAATTATTTATAAGGAAAGAAGGAAATATGATCAAATGAAAGTGTTAATGAACGCAGTCTATAAGGCAGGTTATATTTTCTATTATTCTGTATTTATTTTGCAAACTAACTCAAAGAATAATCTGATTTGATTTGACTGTTTTTAGAGCATTGTATGCGACTATTTGAATCTGTCTAACGCATTTAAATGTTCGTGTTTTGGTTTTCAGGAACTGCTGGTGATTCTCTTTCTTATCATCGTGGTTACCCCTTTACCACTACAGATCAAGATAATGACAGCTACAGCAATAACTGTGCTGTGTTCTATAAAGGAGCCTGGTGGTACAATGCCTGTCATGCTTCCAACCTTAACGGTCTGTATTATCACGGAAAACACTCATCATACGCTGATGGTGTCAACTGGCGTCACTGGAAAGGACTTAACTACTCCGCCAAGAGAGCTGAGATGAAAATCAGACCAGTCAAGTTTTAAGAACGTTCTATTATATCCTCGTTCACTTGCTAATCAACGCAAATCTGAAATTGGAAAAAAAATGTTTAAGTGACTTGCTGATTAAAAAAACTGAAATATAAGTTTTGTTCGATTACTCATTATGTTGCTATTTTCCCACTCTTCATTTTCCACTTTGTACTCTTTTCTTTCTTTTCTCTTCTTTCCTTTTTTTCGCTTTCCTAGTCTCGTGTCTTATTATCTTGTTCTTTGACCTGAAAATAACGGTTATAAGAAGGAATGATTTTTGTGTGAGCCAGGTTAACACTTCCACTGATTTTAAACATATTTCTACTTTGTAACATACATTACAAAGGTTTTAGATACTTCACTTTGACAAAAGTTGTTCAATTTTCAAAACGAAACATGCATAGATCATCCCTTTGGTCATCTGGGCCTTGTTGATCGCATTTCTTTTCACTGATTACGTCATCAATGATTGCTTCACATTGGGCTGCCGGCGCCTCACTAAAAACTCGTTTGAAAATTAAATGAGTCGAGGGCTCAAGCTGGAACAGTTATTATTACCAAAACTATTTCGTAAAAAGGTAGCTCCACTGAATGGAAGCAGTGAGGTCAATACGACTCTATTAGACTTGTCCCTAGTACGTCCCTTAGAGAAGCGTGCGCGGTAGATAACGGGAGCATGAGAAGTAATAGGGTGGAGGAAAAAGAGATTCCCTGTCGTGTTTCTCCTTCCCTTCACCACCCTCGTGGGTACGTACCATCAACGATAAGAAAGGCGATCGGAACTGGGGATGAGAAAGTCTATGAGAAGTGATTCTAGTACCGATGTATAAAAATTAGGATTTAGGAGTTGCAAGCTTGAAATATCGATTATTCTTAGTTATTTTACACACTTTTCTCTCAGTTTTTTTTTTAAGCAACACTCTATCAGCTGAAGGATTTCTTTACTCTCATCACTTGTCTCCTTCGTGTTGACATTGTAAGAAGAAAATGAAAATTGATGACACTTCGTAATTTAAGTATTGATCATTCTCACTTTTTCGTGCTGGAATCTTCTCTAACGTTCAAGAGGGGTGAAACAGGGTTACCATGTAACAGCCGCTCAAAGCTGAACGTTTTCTAGAGATGTCAGTGATCCAAACTAACAGACAAGTCATCGATGACATTTTTTTTTTTTTTTTTTTTGATATGATAAATATCTGTAAAAGCGGGCCAGGGTCAAAGAATAAATTATGATCGCAAAACTAGGATTCACTTCACATACAAAAAATTGAAAAATATGTTGGTTTTTTTTTTTTTGCTGAAGCCATGAAACGGTATTATTCCACTAAACGGCTTGCTTTAGTTGCCGCCATTTTCTCCAACTGAAACTTGAATTTTAGTTGAAGTGTGAAAAGAGAAAAATACGATTGTGGACATGACCGATGAACACAATTAAGCCGGCGATTCCACTGGTTGCCATTTCCTGTTTAGCGGAATCAGATTTAATCACAGTCTTTGAACAACAGTGACGGAAAAATTGTTAATCTTGTCTCTGGGTCTTTAGTTCCCCATTAAGAGAAGACTATCATCCTCTCGTCTCCAGGCCTCTGTCTCGTTAGAATCACTCATCTTACGCCATAAGCCTTCTATTCACAGCATATCAGCAGTTTCCCCCTATATCAGAAATAGATCACTTAGTCGCGAAATCCTGGGGACGAGGAGCGCGCTCCTCGCCGCCAGGATTTCGCGCGGCCATTTTTTTTCTCACGGTTTTCTTTCGGGTCACGCACGACGGACTAAGCGAAAGAGGGACTACTCGTAGTCTAAATTCTGATTTCGCGTAGTACCACTGCTGCTCCACTACGCATTACTGAATACTTGTTCGAATGTCCAATACTCATCACGGCTTCCGATATAGATACCGGAGGTATTCGGAACATTCCTGTAAATCGTCGGAAGAGCTACCGAACTTTGACAAAGAAATAATTAGAGAACGATAAGTAACAACGTTTAAGTCAGGGACTTGTAAATGCGGCTAATTCACTAGTCAAAAACATTGCAACTTCATGGAATATTCATTATGGCGGAACTTTAAGGAGAAGTCGTTGATTTGTACTACTCAGGTTAGTAGTCACTGTTTGCACCCATGCATCACATCTCTTGATTTGGCGGTTTATTTCAGTAGTATTTGGTTGATCACAGCAAAATTCCATCACAACTCAAAATTCTATTTTTTCATAGGCTTAGAATTCCTTTAATATCTTGTTTACGAAAAGAAAGAGGTTTACTGATAGCTTCATAATGATCCTCATTCAAACCACTTCATAAATTATCCTCTTCAAAAGCAAAAGTATTCGACAGCAGGTAATTGAAACACTGAGAATCAATGGAGTGGCAAGTTGATTTCTTAACCTCCTCGACGCGTGGAGAGCAGAGATTCACAGGCGTTTCAAGGCTGAATTCCCATCGTGTGTTCCCAGTAAGTCGACATGAGCCTCCTTTGCATCTCAACGCATGAAATTATTATTTGTTATGAGATTTTTAGCGTGGGTAAAAGCTACACCAAATATGACAACAAGGAAAACCCCTATTAATTTATTTCCACTTGCAATTAC